CAACAACAAACTACGGCAATGTCAACACCAGCAGCACCAACAACAAAAATAAAACAACGCCCATACCCTTTCCACGTCTAGTATCCATTCGCTTGGTGGTTATGCACCGACGCTGCTGACTATCTTGCCCGATACGATCACACGACTTCAAGCAGCGTCTGGACCAAATCTTTCCTTCAACAGACTAACAGCAATAATGTTCACTGCAAAACATCTTTGTAGCCGTGCACCAAACTGCTTGCTCTTTTATTCAGCAGCAAAAAAGCGGCTAACCATCCGCACCAGCCTCTTCTGTCTCAGAGCCGTTGCCAGAGATTATAGTGAGGAAAAAAGCTGCATAAAAAAGAAGAAATAGCCTCACCATTCAAGCCAAAATTTTACAGAAAAAAAAAACACGTTTATAAGCTGCAAACGTCTAATGTGCAGCAAATTTAACAGTAATTCAGATAATTACTACAACGACACTTTATATCACAGCAGAACACGAGCTGTATTATCGAAACTGCACATTTGGCTCATCGAACAGAAACCTGAAAGAAAACAAGCGCATCAGACGAGATTAATTAAATCAGTGTTTTGCAGTCTGTGCAAACTGTCAGTGATTTGGCAGTATCAATACCTACTTTGACTGCCTTCTTACACTACCTTCTTCTTTTCCTTTACACTGTCTCACGAAATTCGACCTCGTTTTGCAATTTCTACCGCAGACAGTTCAGCCTGAATTGCATGTTTCCTGGATGATAAAACTTTTAGGTACTACAAGCACTCAGGAACGCAAAAACCTTTTACAAGGACGTCACTCCAATGAGATTTGCGATGTACAACAGCCACAGCGCATCTATAGCCAACAAAAAATCAAGGTCTCACGACATTAAACCCCTTGTGAAATACAGTAGTCTCAAGTCACTACATGACGCACAAGGTTGCAATTCCGACTACAGTAGCTACAGCACAAGGCAGTACCTCCTCCCAAAGTTCTACAACAGCCACACTTTGTGAAAACACCTTTAATTCCATATTTATTTGTATTAGAATGCCATGGCATTCATGCTCCATTACTGTTATCACTTACGGCCATATAAATATCAAATGGACAACCAAAATTTTCCTTATTCATAAAAAGAACACTTTGAAACACGATGAACTTCGACCAATCATAACGACTTAAAAAACATCTATTCCACCTAATGCAATAACCTTGATTTTCATCAAATGCATCATAACCCGCAAAAACACAGCACTTAATTGAACCTTTATAAAACAAAGCCCTGCTTAGAAGCTAAGAAACGTAACCCCCCAGACAATGCTTCTTGAAAAACAACTTTATGGAATGGCTCCCCTCAAAAAAACACTATCCAAGATAACAGTTTAAACTGTAGGCATTGAGAGAAAAGACAAAGCAAAGTTCAAAACAAGCTTGGCAAAATTATAGATTTCAGACAATCTTACCCAAAAAACTCGTCATGTTGACTACAACTTTCCATAATCCAATATTAACAAAGACACATCATCTACAAGATACTATGCAACAAAAGCCATTCAAGAAAGGAAGTAGGTATAAAACAAAAATATGTTCATCTTTTACAGCACTGAAAAATAATAGCATTTGAAAAACAGTCAACTTGACCAGGAGTGCATAAAAGTTAGCCATCGATAAACCGGGGAACAACACTGGACTCGTATAAAAACCAAATTAAAAATGAAATGAATTTTGAAACAATACAAAGATGCACGTAATGTCCCGTAAAGAACTGATAATACCAGTAAAAACGAAAATGAATACAAATTACAATCTTTTAACCTGAAAACAAGATCAAATTAAAGCTCTCGGAATTCACATCTGTAAGACCTAGCCAAGTATCTATAGCACCTTGCAAAAAATAGAATCATCTGATTTTGGAAAAATTTAAGTGAAGCAAATTTTAAGTGGAATTCCTCGCTAAACTTTACACAGGATTCTTGTTAAACTGGTAAAGCATACAAATAAACTGAGCATTTTTTCCTCTCTGGGGAACAAAAAAGAAGTGGAAACAGAAAAACAGCAAGAGAAAATTACTTAAAGCATTCATTCCAACAACTTGGCAACATCAAAAGTCTTGCGAGAAAACTGCAAAGAAAATAAAAATTTCTCTGAAACAACAGTTTACCAAACGATGTCATCAAGACATCATATCAGAAACTGACTGTACCGGTTGGATAACAGGCAAAGACGTTCCCCGTATAGTTTCAAATATCTAAAAAATTTCATTAAATCAAATGACAAACTACCATAATTAGAAACATTTGGAGCAGAAGGTAAAACTTGCCGATCTGCGAAACATTACAAGGTTTTGAGTAAAGGTATCTTTATTTCTGGTGTATAAATTCCTACCAACACCATCCATAAGATCCGTGAATGCCTGAATAAAACCATGTCAATTTAAGAGCTTAACTTCTAATACAGGAGTGTAAATAAAAAAGGAAGAGCTACTTCTCCAACACCATCTCATGAGATCAGTCAAAGCGCTTAGTTGCTGGTGCCAGTCCACAAAGAGCAAAGCGGCAGATAAAATTAAGACAAATATCAACTTTTAAAGCTTCAAAAAATGAAGAAAAATTTATAAAGCTACTTTTTCAAATCTTGCGTGTTTTTCTTGAGGGTACTGGGCTAATAAGTCCATCTTCCACTGCTGAAAGGCTGATTCTTGAAGAAGAATGAGACCCAGTAATGGACGAGACATCGACCACTGACACTTGACGTCATCGAATACAATTGCATCAAGCATAACAAGGAGTATCTGAAATAAACGTCCTCAGCTCCCTCGGTATATAGAAAAGTAACGAATCAACAGTGAATCAAATTTTGTGGTCGCAGCAGTAAGAAAGATTAAATAATAGCATTTAGAAATCTTCACTTTTAAAAATTCAAACAACCGATTTTATACGTCTAAAATGTTACCCGAAAAAACTTTACAATTACAACACAAAAAAATACCTCCGACAGTACTGTCGGGTTAGCCCTTAAAGCTCGAATACACTCCTCTCCTTCAGGTTCACTTCCAACATGCGTTCTAGGAGGAGCATCTTGCGATATCCTTCGATACAAGTAATTCAAAAGAGTGTCTAGGGTGGCACAAGATGCAGTAACCTAAAGTAAAAGCATCTAATTTCTAAAATATAAACGAAGAAGAAAAAACGATATACTGTTAGGGAAGAAATGTTGAGAGCTTCAAAGACGGTGTCATACAATAAAACATCGAAAGGTCCTATATCTTCTGCGTTGAAATCAAAATAGAAAAATGTTGGTCCTCAAGTGAGAAAATAATATAAAGAAAATAATATAAAGTATTTTAAAGAACAGACGTACTTAGTGAAGTCTTGAACACTAATAATAGAATATTATAAAAATGTAGTTAGACTCGACAGATCACACTGTAACTAAAACTAGACTTCTAATTTCAATAGCGAAACGTAATTATTCCGTTAAAAGTAACATATTCTGATAACACTTACAACGAGACCGTCAAGTGAAACCGTCCCTCGCTGTATATATCGTAAAAGAGTAATAAACAGTTCTGGCTGAACGTTAGACAAATATGCGATGTTATCATGCGCTATACACTCCAATAATGAGTAGAAGTTCTGAGTCACTTTTTGGTACGACTTAAAATCAAATATTGCAGAAATGACAATAAAAGCAAAAAATAACAAACCTCAGCCTAACCGATTAACCGGCAATTAAAAAGGAATCTTATGCAAAATGCGGCAGGAAAAATGCGCACATGAAACTCTTCTGTTGGTATTGCCATAAACAGCTTCATAAACATAGAAAGTGCATCTTGCAAGCATGTATCTCCATAAAGGCGAAAAACACCGAACGGTACATAGCTGCCACTGAGTGCCATTTTGAGAGCGGCAAAACAACTGGCGATGTGCTTATAACGTTCTTTGTAAGCATTTTCAGGAGAAACCTCCGGTAACGCCAAAAGTCGCTCACCTTTAATAGGAATTTAAAATCACCTTTAATTTAAAACGAGGCATGAAAAAGTAAAACAGCAATTTATAACTCATTCAAAAATTTCACTAATACTTCACCTAACCAATTCAGCACTAACAATGAAATCTTACAATCATGTTAAATAAACCAGTGATTGAAAAACTCATTAGAGCTTACCGAAAGAGCAGATAATTTTTGAAGCTTCCCTGAAAAGGAGTACAGCACTACAAGAACTCATTTCGAACTGCAGCCGTTGCTGACGATTCTGACAGAGCTCTATGAGAAGTTTTAAAACTGCACTCATGACTGCACTACAGTCAACCCAGAGCTCCACTGACCGGAGCATTATGTTAAAGACGTTTGGATACCTAAATAAAAAGCTTGCTCAAAGAATGAAAGAAAAAATGTGGGAGAAGGAAAGCATTTCATAAAAGAAACCATACGAATAAGTGCTTACAACCAATCAAACAGCATAGAATACACAGATTTTATATGACAAGCGATAGCTATTCCACGTACATCACGACAAAGTCCAATGACAGCACACTGCAAGTAATAAAAAGTAACGAATGTGTAACCAAGTTGAGTTATGTTTGCAAAATAAGAACCGCCTTTTTTCAAAAATCTACTAAAAAATTTAGCAAACAAAGTTAAGTTGCCACGAGCAAATCTACGTAAACTTCAGCAAAACCAAAAAAAAAAAAAAAAAAAAAAAAAAA